CGCACCTGTTTCGATTCTTCATGGCATACATGCCAGCATTCTCCACTGCTCACATAGACGATAATCTGTCCAATTTAGCTTTTAACCATTGAATTAAGTAAGTCCTTTATTCCATTTAATAAAAACTGCACAAACCTCAGCATGTCCTCTGATCTTAGATCTTGGCTTAACTTTTCCATTTTTGCTGGATATGATCTCACGCCTGGATTATGAAAAGTAGACTGTTGTTTATGCTTTTAACATAAAGAGACTGATAGAGAAAAATATGCAGACCATGTGCATTTTCTCTTGGCCACCGTCTGTTTAAGCTGGTTAGGGAAGCAGCAGAGAAGACTTGCTGTCCTGTTATATGCATACGTGTTGCTGTACTACTATTCAGTTTTTATATGTGAAGTTTCCATGATATCTTTGAGAATATACTCTGTTGCTGAATTACAAGTCTTTATCTCCCTAAGAACGACAGAGTGTCACTTCAACAAGGAGCATTTATACAAGCCAGGATTAGCCTCAGTGTTTCTAAGAAGAGCAGCCTATGCCATTCAAATGGTAGTTTCACATTATAACTCATATATGACTTCTGTCTGGAGACATCCATATTCACCGATATTTTCAGTACCAGCCTCACTCTTTTGATGGTGAAAGTACAATATTACATGATTTTTCTAAGCAATCAGTTCTGTGGTTTTATTCATAAATATACAAACAAAAATGCATACTACTTTTCAATGTTTTTTCAAAACGTAGGATACAGCCTTACATACATATGCCTTAGTTAAATAATTTTGCATCTATTAGCTTTAATGCCGTTAAAGAATGGGTAGCCATGTCTGGAGAAAGAAAAAAATCACTGTGGAATATAAAATAGCCTATTACAGAGTATACTGTCTTAGTATAATTTAAACTGTTAGGGGCACTAGGACAAGCTTGTTGTATTTTGACTGGTCATTTTATAAGCAAAAGGGAAAAACTAGTAATGCTGTCATACATTATTCCTGAATTATCCACGTGTGTTCATTTTCTGGTTTGACCTCTGTTGCTGTGATAAAGTACTCTGACCAGAAGTAATTTGAGGAGGAAAGGGTTTATTTGGCTTAGACTTCTAAATCACAGTCCATCATTGAGGGGAAATTAGGGCAGGAACTAAAATAGAAATCATGAGCAAAGGCTGCTTGCTGGCTTGTTCTCTTTCTTTCTCTATGGCTTCTGTACCCTTATTTAGCTCAGGGCCACCCAGGTAGGCTGGTCCCTTCCACTCAGTCATCAGTCAAAACTCGCTCATAGACGTGGTCTTGTGTGTGTGTGTGTGTGTGTGTGTGTGTGTGTGTGTGTGCGTGTGTGTGCAAAAGTGTGTATAGTAAGAAATGGAGAGATATAAGAAGTCACATATAAAATAAATGTGACAAATATTCTTGAAACTATCAATTCAACTGCTTTTCATTCTGTGTATTTTACTTGATTAATCTAACAAATCCTTTTTGCATGCTGAGGGCCATCTAGAATACTGATAAATTATTTAATGCCTGTTTGACTTATTTGTGTTAATCTCTATAAACACCAAGTGTTGGAAAGCAAAAAAGATGGATCAGTGTCATTTATAACCCTTAAAAAACTCAGGTAGCAATTTTAGTTGATGAAAGGGACAGTCTTGTGGTCTAGTGACTAGCTAAGAGTTTTGCTGAGCTGGGCAATAGTGGCGCAAACGTTTAATCCCAGCACTTGGGAGGCAGAGGCAGGCCAATCTCAGTGAATTTGAGGCCAGCCTGGTCTACAAAGCTAGTTTCAGGACAGCCAAGGAAACCCTGTCTTGGGGTTGGGGTGGGGGAGTTTTGCTGAAATACTTTTATTACAAATGGAAAACATTTCAAGCAAGGTTCCACTCAGGCGGTGATCCTCTAGAAAGAATCCAGATTTAATGAGAACTGTTCAGGATTAAGGTTGAAGAAATCTAGTCTAAAGTGGAGCTCACTTCCCAGTATTCTCTAGTAACTGACTCATGACTGACTTGTGGCCTGTATTTCCACATTGTGAAATGGGGCTGATCCCATCTTCCTGTGTGGTGGTCTTACTAGAAAGTAAAAGGAAAGAAAAAAAAACATTATAGACAAGAACATTATCATCAAGATGGATCATTTTTACAGGGGGGTTCAGTACATTTGAAGCATTCGGTCTCCACAGAGATGGCGCAGTAGTTATCATGGGAGTGGGACTCACTTTATTTCCATTGTGTGTCCATCACCCATTACCTCGTGTTCTTACACCTCACCTTGCCAAGTGGCTAGCGCCATACATAGGCTGGCATAGTTGCTCAGATGTTAGCTGCTTCTGTACTACACAAGCGTGAGACCGAAGAGCTCCTGTTTTATCCGTATCGTCAGTAAGTGTGCCTTGGAACTGCTCAGGGCGCAGTTGGTAGCAGGGACTGTAGAGCTCTGGCCAGTGTGCTGGCACACAGCAGCAGGCAGGTGTGAGCCTGTCCTTCACGTCCCAGGTGGCGTACATGAGGCTAACAGAAAGCCTCATTCGTATTTAAGATGCAGCCATGTGCTTTGTGAATAAGTTAGTTCCTCATGTTCCTTCGTGAGGCCAGTGCCGTATGGATTATGTCCCATTCTACAGTGACTTTGAGAATTTTTGTACTCATTTATTGCTTTACAATGTCCGGATGACTCAGTCCTTGGGGGCTTATGCATAGATAATGTGATACAGTAGATGAAAGGGTTTCATTCTCTTTGAGGCCTGATTTCCAGATTTTCCAATTAGTAACTTTCCCGTTTGAAACCCTAACCCTAATCCACATTTAAGAAATAGCTTTCTGTATAGTCTAAGGGCAGAAACAACAAAGTGAACTGTGACAGTCCCTTTTCCACTTAATTGTCTTGTCACTTTCTGTCCTTAAAGCAATTTTCTAGTGGGAGAGAGAGAGAGAGAGAGAGAGAGAGAGAGAGAGAGAGAGAGAGAGAGAGAGAGAGAGAATGAATGTGTACACGGTGCAAGCATGTGTCAAAAGAAATTGGGAAATGGACATGTCACAGATTGCCGCAGGAATAATGACGAAGCTTGTCTAGACTTAAGGAATCCAAAACCGGAATTCGAATGATAGGCTACAGTTTGGATAAAGCGGCGGAAGTGGGAGGGTGGGTGTTGGATTGACTTGAAAGCATTTACTATGAAGCATTAGGGACATGGCAAGCAGAATGCCCACCATCTGTGCCAGCCTCCATGGGAGATTTTTAAAAAGGGAGGTTCTTGGGCAAAGCTGTGATGTGCCCAAGAGCAGACCCATTTACACGTTTTAAACATAAAGACTTCCAGATTGAGCGTGCAAAATGCTTTCCAGTGTTTCGGGAGATAGCAAACCTGTACATCAAAACGGAGGGCAAACGAAGTACCAAGGAAGAAGATATGCAAAGTGGATATAGCAGTAATGCCCTTTCCCATTTGTTTAAGAGAATATGTGAGCCACAGAGAGTGGAAACACACTCCCGCCCTGCCAAGTTCCCCAGTGTTGAAAGCTCCATTACATAGAGTGAGCACCACACACAGTACCATAGCAGTATGGGGCTTCTGGATCTGTGGTTGCAAATCCTTGCAAACATGTTTGATTCTGATGAGGGAAAGACATCCTTATGGCTATCTCAATTAATTTTACACAGCTCTAATCACACCTTTAATAAATGGTGCCCACTTGTATGGGCATATGTATCACATACTATTGGTTTTGTTATATGTGTAGGCTTTTCATTTAAGTTGTTCCCTTTAAACCATTTAAATGTGTGTGTTTTCTAGTCTATTAGACTCTATTGTTTATGGGTAAAGAGAAGGCCTCTCCATTGGTCTCAAACCGATTTGTGCCTACTCATTAATGTATTGACTGGTTTACTCAGTAATTCAGAGATTGTATTTATTGGAGAATAGGATTGAGAGTTCTTGGGAACATGCTATGCTGAAGAAGAAAACAAAAAGAATTAGTAGTAGAATAATTAAGGCATTCATGGGAAATATGCGAACCTAGGAGAGAAACATTTGATGTCTGTTATGTGGAAGGAACTATGATAGATGTGGGTCAGGGAAAGGGTGTCACGTAGCTCACCAAGGAGTTGAATCTTAAATCCTATGTGGTAGTTGCTATTGCAAACAAGCAGAAAGGGCAGAAAAATAAAATGGTGTTACTAGGAGCATAGACAACCTGTCCATAGACGATCATATATGCAAAAAAAAGTGAGGCGATTCAGTATTGCTGTAGCACTGAGTTGATGCAGTGTTGGATAATGACATGGAGGAGGATGTCCCTGGAGGAACTGTGAACAGTGTACAGACATGAACTACATTCACTGGTCAGAGGGCAGGGAGACTCTTAACATTTTACAGAGCTCTGGTTTGATACTTCAGTGGTCATTGGGGGAATGGATATAAAGGATGAGATATTTTGGCAGTTAATCCAGAAGGAAAACATTCGGAACCTCAGTAGGAAGCATCGTAGAAATGGAGAAGGGAAGGCAAAATCAACAGTTGTCTACAGAAATCTGGACCTGTTCTTATCAGAGCTCCCCGAGAAGCATCTGGGATGGTCTTTGGAAACTAGCTGACATGCCTGGTAGCGGATGATGTGTTCTTCTTGGGTAAAACAACCTAGAAGAGAATAGAGTGAGCTCTTTATCTTCAACACCCTGAAGTTTCTTATGTGCCTGTGATATATTTAGAACTAAGTTTAATTAGTTAATGTGAGCAGTGATAACAAAATGGAAAGAAATATGTCACCGACGATGGTCACCTGACGATGTCTCCATGTGCAAGAAGAAAGGAGTACATTCATGCCATGGCTGTCAGTCATATTATGTGCTAACCCTGGGGTTTGTGTTCTCTGTTCACATGTTTAACCAGAGCCCAGTGCTTGGGTCATAACTTTGCCACAATGTCGGTGGATAACCAATAGTTTTGTTATCGGGAAAAGTTCGTATTTGGCTTGTCCTCATTTTGATTCTCTTGCATTTAACTCCTAGCACCTTCTACTGGAAGAGTTACAAACAGTGCGACTTCTTCAGGTACAAGAGTACCTGTGAACTCAGCTGTGGGGGCGCCCCAGCCAAGTGACCAAGACACACTCGTGCAGAGAGCCGAGCACATTCCAGCAGGGAAGCGAACACCCATGTGTGCCCACTGTAGCCAGGTCATCAGGTCAGTCACTTTTGATGGCTTCTTCAAGATGCGTAATACCAGTGTGGCTATCTTTTAATGCTCTGTAGTAAAAATAGACTTGCTACAACTCTGTATTAGCATGTATAAGCATGTCCATTTTAATGAAAAGTTACCCCAGGTTCCCTGAAAATAAAACGAAAATATGTGTCAGCCATTCATTTCTACCAGATCTAGAAAAATAGTCATTAATATAGGAGCCCTTCAGAAATATTAAAATTGGAAGGCTTAAAGGGACCCTAGATCATTTATCTCAATCTTATTATTTTACAAAGTATACAAATGAAGACTTCCATTTACTGGACAAAATTGTAACACAAAAGAACTTTGAGCCCTGGAGAAAAGATTAGCTTTTACATACAGAAGAATGGCAGTAGACCTTTGTAATATCTCTTCTCAAGTACCATGAGTATTAGAATGGGTTAGGACCTGCGTCTTTCGAGGATTTCCTTCCAGATCTATTTTATTGTCTCTTAAATTCCAAAAGGGGGAAGTGCCCAGAGATCTTTTAATCATATTGTACTGGAGCTTATTAAATCTCAGCATCCTTATGAGTGGCTTTTAAAATGTTATAAGGTGTGTATGTGAATGCTGGTTGCAGACATCTCACCAGAAAGACCCTGCTGCCTCTTTGTGGGTTGCCTTGTTGGCAGTAAAAGTAGTTGCTTGAAATTATTGTTTACATTTTCTTGTTTCTAAACTGTCCTGTTTGGAAACACTTGAAACAATGGGGCCTACAAAGGCAAGTCAGCTTAAGACTACATTTCCCTTCTTGCTGTTACATTAATATTGTCTAGCATTTTATTTCTAGGCTACTTTTAATATGTAAGATAGGATGCTCCAGTGGCTTAAAAACAAAGTATAATAACATTCCTCTTAACCTATCAGTAATGGATACCATGTCAAAAACACGTACACAGCACAAAGACTAAAATCTATTCACACTTTCGTTTTCAAGATGTCCATTACATACTCTAGACTGCCCTTAGACTCATGGTGATTCTTCTGCCTCAGACGCTGAAGAGGTACAATTCTACTTGTGACACACCTTGCCCAGCCTACTTTTTAGGCATGTACATAAAAAAAAAAAAATATTGTCTTATAGAAATGAAATAGATTTGTGTTATTTTTCATGTCATATGGAAGAGGAAAATTTCACAAGGCCTGGCCCCAGATGAAGAATTATTGCCAAGTAATGATTGCCAAAAGAGGGGGAATTAGTCCTCAGAGATGAACCCCTAATTGGTTATCCAGTACCAAGTGGCCAGCCCTGAAGTCATGTACACATAAATAACACTAAACAGACTCAGCATTGTGTGTGTGTCTGTCTGTGTGTGTGTGTGCGTGTGTGTGTGTGTCAATAAAAAGGAGGTCATGAATTAGAGAGTGAGGGGGAACAGTACATAGGAGGAGTTAGAGGGAGGAAAGGGAAGGGGGTAAATGATGCAATTGTATTTTAGTAAAGAGAATTATCCAGTAGTCATGGTGGCAGTGAATATGATTCTTAAGAGAAAAGCCAACGCAGTGAAGGTCTCCAGTCTAGGGCAGCATGATTTGAGCAGAACTGACTTCAGAGTTGAGTTAACCTGGTTTTGTTTGGTTAGTCATTTTACTACGAGTTTCTGTAGGGTTACTGTTTTTTCCACATAAAATCTAGTGTAGCACTGCCTTACTGTAATTAGTAAAACAATGCTTTTAATTACTGCCCGTACTTAGTTAAATTTTTAGATTTAATGGTAATACAATTAAACTCTGACATAATATGGTTTTCTACAAGTTACCTTACTGTGGTTACCAATACTGGTGCTAAATGATATGATATTCCACATCCTTTGTGGAAACAGAAATCACTGCTTTTGTGTGCTATTGTAAGCTGTTGCTTAATACACTAGAGTGTCAAAGCATGTCATTTACTAATTCATGTCTGATTATAAACTTCCATGCTCTCCTATAATCACAACTTTTAGTGCCTCTTTTTAATATGGTGAAAATAGGAAGCCCAAAGCAGAAGCATCACGCACCATTTCTCTTTGCCTTAGCCAGATTTAGTGGTAGACTGAATGATGTACAGACATTCTGTTTTATGACATAATTATATATATAGCTAATGAGATGAATGGCCATCACTAACTGTCCCCTCATCTCCTGAATTTTACATTGTTCTGTATTACCCAGCTCTTGTTATCATTTAAGCATCGAAGCTTCGATTACTAAGGAAGTTAACAGGAATGGGGATTAGCTCAAGTCAGGATCATGTAACACTAATTAACATAGCACATTTGTCTGGTGCTCAAGTTTTCCAGCAGCTTGCATACCCAGCAGTCGGCTCAGAGCGCTGGTCAAAGCATAAGTCCTGTTCTTACCCTCGGTGTCAGTTTTACTTACCAAAGCAAGAAGGTGTTGGATCGAGTGACATTATCTGGGACACCTGTTTTTAAAATGAGCTGCAGTTGTAGGCATACCACTTTCAACAGAATATTATACCCTGGCAAACTGAGAAGGATAAAGTTGAGTTTATGTTGTTAGTATTATATTAGCTAATTTTTGCAAGAGTTGGCTGTGTTCAGAAGATACATAAGATCAGATAAGGCACACCTACCCATACATGATTTTTCATTTTGTCTTAATATTTAAGTTTTGTGTTTATTTGAATCTTGAGAAGTTTGTGGGTGTTGTCCCTAACTTATATTTAAAGGCATATACTTTGATTAGTTACAAATGCATAAGGTATTATATTTAGAAAGTTTCCTGAAGATTTCAGTTTGTGATAGGACATTTCTAATCCAGCTAGGGTCGAACTAGCATTTCTTCATCTCTCATGTGAATATATTGACTGAGTATAAGTGTTAAAGCAACACATATAGAAGATGATGAATGTAGCCCAGGCTAAGTTCTGTTTCCTGAGGGAGCAAAAAGCATATGAAGGATCTAGCCTTCCTAAATGTAACATCTTGTGTCATTAAAATCAGTTGTCATGCATATTGCACAGGGTTAACTGAAGTGCTTGTGTTTATTTTCTTAAGTTTTGAAAAAGTCAGGATTGCTGATCTTGGATTTCTTCCTAGATATAGAAAGTTAGCATTGACTGGTAGTGATGCTACTGTCATTACATCTTTGCCTACAGCACAGTACCAGAGCCACATTCAGGCAACTTGGTGTTTATTCCTTAGAGAAAAGGAATTTTTGTATTATTGAGATGTTTTGCTCAATATTTTTTAAGCATTTTCACAAGGAGAGCTGTCCTGGAGAAGCACACATTTCAATCTCTGAACTCCTTATTTATAGGTCTTTTTTTATTGTCCCTTCTGGTTCCGATTTTATTTGATAGTAAAAGGTTTCCTGCCTTAATGTATCAGCTGCTGAATTTAAGAAAACAACTGAAAACATTGGCCAAGATTTATAAGTAAGATATAAACCAAGATTTTATTGTTCACTATATAGGGCAGAGAGAGAGAGAGAGAGAGAGAGAGAGAGAGAGAGAGAGAGAGAGAGAGAGAGAGAGGGAGAGAGAGAGAGAATGGAAGAGTCTAGCATCTATATTTCCAATACAATGTCACCCTTAAGGTTCTGTTTGGAAGACAGTGTTACAGATGTGTATTTTACCCAAATATTCCTTACCCCCTTGTGATTACATTTGCTATTGATACTGTGTATCTGAGGTGAGGAGACTGAAGCACAGACAACGCACACATTTGTCAGAACTGCTTAGATTGTAAATAACGGTACCCAAATTTTAGTTCAGTTCTGTTTAACTCCATTTTCTTCATGTCTATACCAACATTGCCTGGTTACATGTATTAAAATGACAAAGGAAGTATAGAACTATAAAATAGGGATCAAACAAAGTTATACACGATAATAATTGAGCCAGCTGTTTATTAAGTATCATTGATAGAGCCCAAGAGCCTTATTGGTATTACCCTTGTGTCTTTAGAGTAACTCCATGAAATGGATCCTCATGGACAAACTCACAGAACTGATAAAGTGGTAGTACGGGGACTAGACTCCATGTATGTTTGGTTATGAAATATGTTAACTAATTAATTCATTGAATATTTATTTAACCACTGTTTTCTTTTTCTGAAAATAGAATAGTAATAGTATATAGAGTCAGTTTACTTTACCAAAAGAACAAAAGGGACAATGCCCAAAGTTAACATTATAATTCTTAAATCTGTTGAGTCATTGTGGTTTAATTTCTTCTCTACAATATTCTGAGCTCTCTAAGTTATTACATACATATGTTATAAATAGATAAACACACAGTTATATATCTTACTTATTATCAGGAGAAAAATAACTTAAGCCCTAATAGGTATGGTAGTATATTTTGTTCATACATTGAATTGTACACATAAATAAGAAAGAAGATAACAGCTACATTGAATAAACATTCTAAATGACTGTACAGTCTGCATGCATTCCTAAATTATAAAGTTATCCAATGTCTCACATTTATGCTTTCTTATCTAATGTTGGATTGTATTTATTGTGTAATGAAACAATCTACTCAGACACCACTGATAGCAGCATGGATGACATACCCTCTTCCCCAAAGAGGCTTACTTTACTATTATGAACTGAGTTGTGTTCCACAAAATTTACATGTTGAAGTAGTAATTCTTAGTCTCTTTAGAGTGTGACTGCCTTTGGAGCGCTGATCTTTAGTCATTAGATAAATCCCAGAGACAGATATTGGAGTTTAAATTTCAAGCTGAAGATCAGAAAAGCAAAGCAGCTGGTCACTAGCTCCTACTTTACCTCAGACTGAAAGGACTGATCCTGTCTCCACATACCCTAGCCAAACCTCAGGTTGTTGCCTCTTCTCAGTGTGGCTGGAGAATCCTGAGACTTCAATGTCTTCCTACCCTCAGTGTGGCTGGAGAATAAATGCCTGATGCTGATTACAGAAGACCCTGCTCCTATCTTTTATACCCTCTAGTGCTGGGATTAAAGGTGTGTGATCCCAGGTGCTGAGATCA